ACATGTCCAAAGTTTGTAAGACAAAGTCTCACCATCCTTGTCTCTAAGGAACATTCTGACCATACTTTTTGCAAGACAGACTGGTTTGTTCTTTTGGCAGTCCGTGGTTGTGTTAGACTGGGTTGACTAGCGAAACAAATCCAGAAACACGCATATATGTGTAGGGAAGAACTTTCTATCAAGAAGTCATTATAGGGAGGCGGGAGGGAGCACTAGAACTGATTGTGATTATGTATATACAACTCATTCTAAAAGCAATGTGTTAGTCTGGGTAGACTAGAGAAATGAATCCATAGAAACTCATATGTATAAGAGATAATTTTATATAAAGGGTAATTGTACATTAAGAAAGCATCTCAACCCAGTCTAGTCCAAGCCCATAAGTCCGATATTAACCCATATGTCTGACTGATGAAACACATGCAATGACGCTGAATGCATGTCTGTGACTATCAGAGGGTAGAAAGTCTTCAGATCCAGTGGCATTGTAAGCATCTCAGCACTGGCAGGGGTCTCCACGTGGCTACTCCAGCTCCCAGGGCACCGGGGTCTATCAGCACAGTCCCATGTGTCTTGTCAGTAGAGTGTCTCCAAGGGAGTGAGCCAGAAGAAAGTGTCTCCTGCCTCCAAGGAGGAAAATACAGGAGTTCCCAGAATTCTCAGGAGAAGGCCATGCCCACACAGAGGCCTCATTGGTTATGACCTGATTGCCAGGGTAGACTCCACCCCTTCACTCTTAATCCTCTCAAGTCCCAAACTGACACCAGATTATGTAACTTCTACAAGTGATTTAACCATGGAAGTGTATGACATGTGAAAATGTATCAAGAAACCCCCCAAAAAGAGGAAACCAAACAACCAATGGTCTCCATGGGTGAAGGGCAAAGCGTTATTGTAAAGGGGGCACTGATTTTATGTCAATGGTGGTAGAATAATTTGGAAAAGGCTATCAACCACGGTTGTACAACATGAAGGGTATGATCAATGACAATTATACAAGTAGAGGTTGTGGAATCGGAGAATGTTTTGTTGTGTATGTTTTTGCCACAATTAGAAAAAAAATAATTACACGAATAACAATAAGCACAAGGGAGAAGAACATGTTCCCGCGTTGAATATGGTGACACTTGTGAAACTCCTCGTCTTGATATGACTGAATTATCGAATTGTAGGACATGTAGATGAAATGCTAATAGAACTGAAAAAGATTGAAGAAAATGTCCTGAAACCGAGTGTGGTGATGACTGGACAACTCTTCTTGATGTGATTCCGGGGGAAACTGACACGGAGGGAGATATTCCCTAACTTACCACAGACACTCCCTAACTTATCACAGAGGCAATCTGGAAAGCTAGTCTTCCACGGTAGGAAAGCTACCGTGTTGGTCAGTTAGAGATAAAGTCCAAGTACATGATCCTGCTTTAAATGTCATTCCCAGAGATTCTCCCTAACAGCTCTGCTGCCTTAGACTGAGCACATGGTTGATTCTATCTCCCTACAGAAGCAGACATCCTGTTGCTAACTCCTCCACTGGGT